GCACGTATGTGTGTGTGAGTGTGTATATATATACTTTATGTATATATACATTTATATATGTATATGTATATATATTATATTATGTATATTATATATATATATATATATATATAATATATGTATATATTTTTTCTTTACAGATACGTATTTATATGCACATATGTATACATATATGTATGCAGTACATATATACAAAGATATACATGTACATACCTGAATAAACAGTTGCAGATGCTCCCAGGGCGCAAATTAGCATAGAGTGACGAGCCAAATCCCGGCGCTGCGATTTCTCCTCAAACACGAGCGACTCCGCGAGGTCCGCCTTCCGAGAAGCGCGGCCGCCGAGCAGCCGCCGCGCACGGGAAGGGACGTGTTTCTCCCTCTCCGATCTCGGGATCGTTTGAGGTCAATCGATTCCTTCCACGAAATGTCAACAATTCCTCTGATTCTGGTTCGCTGGGCGACTGAAGGACCATTAAAAAGGAATTATGATTTAGCAATTGTGACAGGATTGTTAGGCAAACTCTCTCTGTTTCTCCTGTCTGTATGTGGGTGTTATTTCGTTGTGATCTTCATTGCAATTATCGGTTTCATGAATCTTCCAAGAACCGAGTCCTCGCAGCCTCCTCGTCGCCCTGTTTGCTCGCTGAGTCATGCCGAGACCTGGCTAATGTCAACACGTGTTCCGCGGTCCATTGCCGGCGACTTGCCTGAGCTCGCGCTAGTCTTTGCTCTTTTCTGATGGTTATCTGTCTTCTTACTTATTCCCAACTTTCTTTCTCTGTGTTCATTTTTGTGATTCATAATTTGCTATATATATAAGTCAAACGAAACCGTTTTTATGATGGAGGACCCATGAGCTTAAACAAAGACAAATTGTAGACCTTTGATCATCGTCGGTTATATATTATTCTTTCATTCTGTTTCACTTCCCGCTTGGGCTTCTTCCATCTCCACACACTCCTTTCGTCTCTAGAACTTACATTCCCTTTCAGTGTTTTTTTTTTGTCACTCTTCATTTTTATGTTCCTTGTTTTGTTTCAAAGACGTTCTAGCTGTTCTGTAATCTATCTGAATTTCCAACGTTTGGTGAACATTCCTGGAAATGACTACAGTG